ACCCCCCTTTACCTCTTTTCACAAGCACAACTCACGGCTGCCGCAGTGAGCATCGGCAGCTCTTGGTGCAGATGGATGATTCCTAGATCAGAGATATAAGATTAATCCGGCCTTTCACTCTCGCTGCGAATCCCTGCCGACTTGTCCCTCCTAACGACTACGATTCGCCGTCATTCGGTCGTCGGGTTAGGCATTAGGACTCGTCTTGTCACTCGCGCTCGTTCTGTTGACGAGGGGCGGTGATCGACCGACAAAGCAGAGTACTTTGACGTAATGAGGCTCCGTTCTGGATGAAGATACCACACTGAGTCTGGTTTTGCGATACTTTTAACACAAAACCATGCGATAACTGTTGTTTTGCGATTCCCACGCTAAAGGGCATGATAACTCCAAAAAATGTGATAAAAGTATCTTGATACTTTTATCACATTTTTTGGAGTTATCATGCCCATTAGCGTGGGAATCGCAAAACACCAATTTTCGCAAAAATTGAGTAAAAGTAACACAAAACGGATTTCAGTGCACCATAGGGACGTGATGGAGAGAAACAAAGACAAGTTCAACTACAAAGAGAATAGGTGGTGACATTGGCACGGCAAGAATCATACATTATTTCTATATCTCTTCAACTGTTTAAGATCATTTTCTTATTGCTTGTGCTTGTGTTACTGAAATGGAGAAATTTGTAACAATTAAGTAAGTATATTGAGTCAGTTTATTGCGTAAATTTTCACACATTTCGTCACAAACAGCATGCTACCTGATTTAACAGGAAGATTGCGATATTCTGTGCAATTAGAACTGCTTCAAAGCTCTTAAAATACGGATCGTGATTGCCCTGACGTTATGGTTGCTAAAGTGACAGAAAAGAATTACTATTTTTAGGGGAAGCCAGTGAATTGATGCACACAGAACTGCATTTTGAGAACTATGGAAAATGTCATAAAAAGGAATGTCACACAGAATTGACGAATCATACCCTATGTTCTTAACACTGTTGAGATGTACCTATTTGCTGAAAGTTTCACAAACAAAGTTTGAAAAGTATTGATTAAACTAACAAAAATTAACTGACATACTCGAAACTTAGGTTGATTAACCACTTTTATAGCAACTATAGTTATCACAGACTTTGTTGGTTTCTGAGAGCAACTTTCTTGCGTCATTACTTGCGTTTCAAAGACATTGTTTTCGACGACCGAAAACTTGTCAGCGCATGTCGTTTGAGCTCCCTCGCCTTTACGACCAAGAGTATCCTTAAAAATTATCACATTCGTGGCAAAACGTCGCTGTTAGGGTGAACGTACCAACAGAAAACTTACATTTGAAATGAACCAGTCACCACACAGCACACCTGGTATACAATTTTTTATGATGCTCAAAATCTTCCAAATAGAATTACTTTCTAACTCACTGAAAAGATGACTTTGTTTTTTTATCTACGATCCACCCACAACTAGTTGTTCATTCAACTAGTACCAACCGCCTATAAGTCAAAACCGTCAAAACATGTCATTTTGGGGGGACGAACTGCTGTTACCGTCATACCGTCAATATTTTCGTGTTATTTAACAAGAGCTTGTTTATTTAGCTTTTATAGCGATAAAAAAGTTTACACCCCACTGACTTATGTCTGATTTACTCATATCTACTGCCACAATGGATTTTAAAACCAACAGATTTCCCCAAAAGTCGACGGAATAATTTGTAAAGAAGCTGTTTGAGTCATTTTATTTCGTTATCGCCCACATTTTTTGTCAATGTACGTTCGGTACGATCTATAAGAGACTGAACAATCAGCCTTCAAACTCGAGCAGCACAAGGAGAAGCCCACTTGTACAACAGCAAAACGAAGTCCTACTGTTGGATTGCTGCAGTTCATGGTAACATTCACACATTTCAATGGCGCTAAGAATTAGTTTTTAAATAATTAGTGCAAATTGTCACATATCTTGGGAGGGACGTGTGTCTTTATTTTTACACGAACGGCTTGTTTGTAAGCAGCCTCTTTTCTTTTCTCAAAATTAAGAAGTAAGGCCAGTCTTTGAGACCACACACATTATTACTATACAATCACACACAAAATCACACATACAAACTCACATTTCGTTTACGGGCAAACACAGACACATAAACGGTTTCTGTTTAATTCCATTTATGGAAGAAAGGGCCTCCCAAAGAGTCCTTGCCACGACACACTATGATGCACTCTAAAAAGTGTCTTTGACTCGCAAACTAATCATCGCGTCCGGCACTTTAGAACTGTAACACTGATGAAGAATAACGGGTTGTGCCTGCGTTGTAGAAAGGAATCAGTTGTTCCGCAAGGTCGTTTTCTTCGGAGGTTTTTCAAGTGTCCTTAGGGACCTGCGAGGTCCTAATAGGTCCTGCCGGGCTCTAGGGCGCCAGTAGCAAGAGGCAGACGCAGAACACCAGGCAGTAGAAGTGCGACGACTGGTGGTGCGCCTGGCCGGCGTGCTGCATGGCGGCCGGGTGCTCGCCTGCAACAAGAACACGACTCTGTTGTAGGAGTCCCCCGATGACAATGGCGATCGCTATCAATATTCTTGATTGTTACCGTTGAGCACGTGCACGTTGATGCCCTTGGCTTGCGCGTTGGACGGGTTGCACGTGTAGCGGCCCGAGTCAGAGGGGCGCGCGCTCTGGATCAGCAGGAAGCTCTCGGTCGTCACGCCCTTCTCTGTGACGACGCTCACGCCGCCCCGCGGCGAGTCGTAGCTGATGATCTGCAAACGAATGACGCATTTTAGTTTTTTTGTTTTTTTTTTTCGTTTTGCCCCCGCTTGCCGCGGCTGCTTGCGCAGGCCGCGCACAGTAGTTACCTCGGCTCGCCGAGACCATTACAACTAATAAGGGCGGGGACCTAACTGCTGGACCCGCCCGACCGAGGCCGCACAGCGCCGCACAGTTGAGCAAAGTGCCATTGGCAACCCCCCGCGCGCCTACCCCACGCCTACCCCACGCACATATATACCCCCAGCAGAAGCCTCGCCCGAATCAAATGTAGGAGGCGGGGCGGCGGCGCTGGCTGCGACACGGCCTTCTTTATCGCGAGGCGGCCCGACAAGAAGCTCTCCCATTAGAGCGCAAGGAGTTCCAGCCGGTTCCACCTCATGGACCGGCCGGCCTCGCCTACATAATGCCATTATTTGCCCAGGGGCCCACTTTGCACTGCGGTCACTGCGCAGCCCATCCCCCTCCTCCCCCCGCCACCTCTCCCCCGCCAGGCCTAGGGCTCGAAAGGCCATACGCTCCAGCCAGCACAGCCCAGCGGCAGTGGGCCTCTATGATGGGGGAGCGGGGCGGGGCGGGGCCGGAGAACGCCCGGGCGCGCCCTCACACCAGCGAGGGGATTTAAGACCCTCAGCGCGCACCCTTGTTCTCATCGGTCGCCCGACCCGCGGCACCACCCCCGGCCCAGGGCGGCGGGGGGTCTACCTAGACCGGCACCCTCTGCCGCAATAAACGGGACGCGAAGATTATCCAGATGCTGCCGAACGAGCCACATATTGTATGGAGATGACCGATGACCTCACGCGCACGCCCACACACAAGAGCCTGCAATCCTAGATAGGGGTTCCGCCGAGTCCCGTTACGGGGGCCATAAATGTCAGCAATACACCGGAGTAAAGGTACTCCCAAGTCAATATGCCTGCGCTATAGGTAGACATTTCCGCAACAGCTCTATTCAGCAGGCATGTGTAAAGTGTGTAACTGCAACTTGAACCGCTTGAACAAGTGTTGAAGATGGATGACGCGCTTGAAAAGAGTCAACCAGATAGGTGGGCACTTGTGAGTGTGTATCTCCTCTACTGAACACTTACGAATGCCCAACCATCAGCTTTTAATACTTTGCAAGTGCACAAAACCCTGTTGCACACTTACAAATGTTAAATTGGTGGAACACCTGACGTCAATGTACCCGCTCCGTACTCACCGCGTCGTTATGGTTCCATATGACGTAGGCCGGCGGCTCCGGGGAGTTGAGAACGATGCATGTGAGGTTGATGGTTGAGCCCCGGTCGATGTAGAGGTCCGGGCCGCCCAGGATCTCCGAGGAAGGCTCTGCGGGCGAGACATGAGGGGGATTAGTGTGGGCGAGCCTCGCTGCAGGACAGTGTAAGGTAACCCGCGGGGCGGAGGGCAGAGCGGCAGCTGCTAGCAGCCTGACCTCGGCGAATGACTAATTGAGCGCCAACACATGTCGGGCCAAACGAATGACCGAGGGGAGCCCTGGGACTGCTGCCTGCGCCGCGCTGGCGCACTCCATCGTCCCCTACCCCCTAGCCCTCCCTCTGTAAGTCCACGGCTCGCGAAATGAGCAGTGGAGCATGCAAGATCTAGAAATATACACTGAGGGTATGGTTGTTTACATTTTGTGCACATTTGTACTCTCCACCATGTCGTCATGGCCCACGCCCGCTGCCCCAGTCGGCGAGTGCATCGCGATAACAGAATTTGAAACAATGACGCACATACTTTCGCCCTTCCTCCTTCTGTCACAATCCTGCAACGCGCCCCAGTTTCAAACTGCCGCAATTTCGAGAGTCAGTTCCCCTGCACACTCCTCCCCCTTCCCCCAACCTC